TTGCACTGAAGTCGGCGACAAAATTGACGAACACCTGCGACTTTATTGTCGTTCACAGTTGGTATGTGATATCACGCTTTCTTAGCTCGATGGCCCACTTGGCTAGCCTCCGCGATAGCTCGGGTTTATGCAAAATGATCCTTAGAGAAAAGGTTGTGACGACCGAGAAAGGGTGGCACTGGAAATATGGTCTAAGCTTTCGTGACGCTACGACCAAGGCCAGAGTCAATTTTTTGAGGTGCGGGTACCTCATCTCTGCGTCGACGAGTGTTTTGCTAATTTGATAGATAGGAGATTATGTACCTTTGTTTTCACGGATCAAGACTGCTCTTATCACTACTTCGGAGATGGTTAGATGACGAGGAGCTGCTCTTTAGGTTCGGGTTTTGAAAGTAGAGGTGGTGATGATAGGTATAACTTCAGTTCTCACAGAGCCTGGATGCAATCGGGAGTCCATTCGAGGCCATTGTCCTTTTTGAGTACGCCAAAAAATTTGTGGCATCTATCAGACAACCGCGATATGAATCTTGATAGGGAGATGATTCGTCCAGTCATCCTTTGGACTTGCTTTTTGGTGGTCAAGAGCTCAAGTATCCCTTCGATAGCTTTGATTTGGTCTGGGTTGACCTCGATCCCTCGTTGTGAAACCAAAAAACCCAAGAACCTTCCCGAGGCTACACCAAACGCACATTTTTCCGGGTTCAGCTTCATTCTGTACCCCTTAGTATGTCGAAAGTTTCTTTCAAATGATAGATGTGATTCTCTGCCTTTTCGGACTTGACCACCATGTCATCTATATATACCTTCATGGTCTTGCCGAGCTGGTCTTTAACCATCTTTGTCATCTTTTATATGTAGTCCCCGCGTTCTTCAGCCCAAATAGCATGGCCCTATAATAATGCATTCCTTGGTGGGTGATGAACGTGGTCTTCTCCTGGTCTTCTTCCTCCACAAGCATTTGGCTATAGCCTAAGTAAGCGTCCAAGAAACTCAATAGTTCATGCCCGGCGGTTGCATCGATGAGTTGATCGATATAGGGTAATGGGAACGAATCCTTCAAACATGCTTTGTTCAAGTCTGTGAAATCCACAGACATCCGCCATTTCCTGTTTTTCATTTTGACCATCACACCGTTGGCGATCCACTTAGGTACTTCGACTCCTTGATAAAGCCATTCTCTAACAGTTTTTCCACCTCTTCGCGGACTACAGCGTTAATGGCGGAGTTGAATTTACGCCTGACCTGTCTTACTGGGGATGAAACTGGTCAATGTTTAATTTGAGCGTGGCGATTTCCCTTGGGATGCCCGACATATCTGCATGGCTGAAGGCAAACAAATCTGCATTAATTATTAAGAATTGGCTGAATTTACCTGGTTCCCAGAGTTTACAGCCGATATAGGCCTTTTTTCTACGATCATTGAGGTCCAACTGAACATAGTCGAGGTCTTCTATGTTCAAATATGCAGCCTCGACCATTTCGGGATCCATGATGGTGTTCCTGGTTTCTCCTTGTGTCGACCTCGGCCCGGTTGATTGCTTTGCCTTTTGTCCTTGTCTTTTTTCTATTGGGTTTTCGTGATGTCTAAGGCAATGCGGTAGCATTCCCGAGACGTGCGATGTTCTTCATGAATGATGAATATTCCCCATGGTGTTGGGAATTTAATTACTTGGTATAGGCTGGAGGGGATGTCTCTCATGGGATGTATCCGTGGTCGTCCCACTATGGTGTAGTATGCAATGACCTGGTCCATGATGTGGAATGCGGTCTCCAGAGTCACTCCACCGGCAAAGACGAGGAGTGTAATTTCCCCCGAACGTCCACTCAACTGCATTATTAAAATCGGTTAGCGTGATGCAGCGCGACACTATCTTATCCTCGAGTTTCATTTGGGTGAGGACTCGGGGATAAATAATGCATGCTCCACTTCCATCGTCCATCATGATGCATTTGACATCAGTATCTAAAATGCGTAAAGTAATAACGAGGGCATCATTACGAGAAAAAGTCAAACCGTCGGCATCTGAATCATCGAAGATGATACTTTCTTCGAGTCTGTTGTGCCATTCGCGGGGTGATAAACCGCTTGAGCTTGTGTGGTAGTGAACTTCAAGGCATTGATAGAAGCATCGTCGTTGCCACCGATGATCATGTTTATAGTACGAGCTGATGATGGCAGCTTCGGCGGGCCTTGGTGTTCACGTCCTCTAGCGAAGTTGTTTATCCCCTTGTCGATTAACAGCTCTTTAAGGTGTCCCTGGCGTAACATGTTTACGACTTCTTGTCTGAAGGAGATGCAATCTTCTATTTTGTGTCCACGTTCCTTGTGGAACCCACAAACGGCGTCAGATTTTCTGGTATTCGGGTCTGATCTCATCTTAGGCGGCCACTTCACCTTTTGTTTCGAGTTTCTCAAGAGTGTAGACTATTTCTGTAGGTGACACACAAAAGTTGTGAGCAGATAATAAAAGGGGGCATATCTCCTTCATTCTGGTGAATGCCTGTCCTTGTC